CATGATCAGAGAAAGAAACCTTACGCAAGGAATACATATGATTTAAAGAAAGGATAACAAAATAAGTATTTTTATTTAATCTTTTAAGAAAACTCCTGCAACACTTGGCTAACTATAACTTAAACAGAAGGGGAAAAGAAGTAAACACATGAACTACACAACTTCAAATCCCACTTTCTTATCTAGTCAACTGAGAATATCCTGAGAATTTCCCGATGCAGTAAGCCAGGTAGTCTGAAGGCAAATCAGCTATAGCAGACTTTATTCAAAGGTGAGAAAGCAGGAAGCCAAACATGTTTCCTCCATTGGTGCAACACACGAATTTCCAACTACAGACATTCAGAATTGTTGGACCTTTGCTGCCTCCCTCTGCAAAGGGCAGCCTGGTCAAAAATTTAATTCTTACCAACTGTAACATACAAAATATCACTTGCTTTAACACACAAGCCTCGTTTTCCAATTCCATCCTAACCCTGAAGGGTGGTACATGCCTAAATGTTCACACTGAATAGATTGCTTCTATCACAAAGGAGCTCAGTGAACTACAGGAAAAAAAAAATCACAGGTTAATTACTCAAGTGTTTAAGAGAACAGGTGCACACATCAGTGAGCCACAGGTCCTGCTCTAGAATTAAAAGATTTTCAAGAATAGAGACCAGGAAAACTAAAGCTCTGAGTATACATGCTCAATGTCTAAAACAACTGTTCCACTGATGTCAACAAGATTTGGATTTTATTCTAAGAGAACCACAAGAGGAACATAATTAAGTTACCCATAATTTAACACAGATACCCACAAAATTAAACAGTCACATTTTCTGAAAAATATTTCTGTTAAGCAAGTCATCCACTAGAATGTGTGGTTTTAGTTAGCTTCTGCCCTTAAAGCCAAGAGACCAGTTGTGCTATCTTGCAGAAGATTCACATGTGTGTTTATCATACAGCCACTAGAGGGGTACAAAGATCTGCAGAGGATTAGCATATATTAAATATATTTTGAAAAAATGTTATCATAACTAAGCCTACAGATAGAACATGTATTAACTCTTACAAGACATTCCTTTCAACAGTCCACAATAATTCCACATTCATTCAAACTGTGCTTCTACCTTGGTCTAGACAACATCAGAAATACACTTTTTATTAATTAGTATGGAGATCTATTTCCATAACTATTTCATTTTGAACCTATATTGATAACACAAGTTTTTGTCATACCTATCTCCTCCACTAAAGGTTTTGCTGTCCTCAATTTTCTCGGTGCTAAAAGAGATGTCAGCATGTCCAGTCCTTCAAAATACTGCCCAGGACTCTCCTTAGGTAACTGAATTGTAAAAGTCCCTTAAAGGCAGAACATAGTTACCACATTAAAATAATCAAGACAAACAAAAATGCTATTTTCCCCTCTATTGAAATAGGCTCACAGAAATTGAGATACATGAAGTAGCAATTTACTATGCATTAATCTCCAGGCATGTTTTTAAACTTCCATAACAAATTTCACAAAAATTAAAGATATTACAGCATGGAAGAGATTATTTAACAAACTGTGATCACCCACACAACCAACAGAAACAAACTTCAATGAATTGTCATCAACAGGTGACTATAGGAAGCTATTCTACCTTCTGATTACTGTTTCAAGTATGAAACAAAGGCTTTGTAGGCTTTTTTGTTTATCAATACACTTGTTTCTGGAATAAAGTACCTTTTGAAACACTTTCCACCTTTAAGTATGGCTAAAGTGTTCTCTCTTAAGTCTTAGAGAAGAGAATGTCTCAGACTACCTCATTTCTGCTTACTACTACTCTTCTTCACAGACTTGGAAGATTTTACATATTTTAACAATGGCATGCCTGCCTCCAATGGGCTTGAACCATTTCATGATTAGGACAGTTGCAGGCATGTCATTTGAGCTTAATGATAGCCTATGTGCAACAAATCTTCAGGAAGTTTTTTTTTTTTAATACCACAACACAGGAGAAGTTAGGCTTTTTTTTTTTTTTTACAGGATCATACACTGTGCTAAAGTTCTGTGCATTTTCACTGCAAGAAAACAAATAACTGAAGAGTTAGTATTCCTCAAGATAACTATATGAAAAATATTAAATGATACCTTTTTCTGTATCGTAAGATGCTTTTTCTCTGCCATTTTCCACAACTCTTCCAGGAAGTGTCAGTCTGGATGGAAAAAAAAAAGATGTCTCATTGAATGCCTAACTAATTCTGCAACTTCACATTTCAGCACATAAAAATGTAAGGCACGTTCCAAAGGCAGTACAAATAACTACATGATTCCTGTTGGTAATAACAGAAGTCAGGAAGTAAAATCTCTCTGTGGCTCTAAATCAATGACAAAGTCACAGCCAGCACAGACACACCACCCTTGGCAGTCTCTCAGCATTTGGAAGATTCTGTATTTTAAAAACTCTGAACTAACCCATAGAGACAGGACATGAGACAGCCAACTCTGAGCTTTCTACTAATCTAATGAAACCCTTTGAGGTCTACTAATATATTTATAGAAGTACATCCAACAAAAGAGGAAATAGAAAATAAGAAGGGGGTAATGGCTCACCAGCTCTTAAACACCAAAGGCTCTCTCAAATTTTCCATACTGAGCTGATGATCATTCCATTCCTATAGTATAGCAAGAAAGTTGCTAAAAGACAAAGCCTGGAACATGATTCCCTGGCACCTACACCACACAGATTTATCAGGAGTGCACTGAAGCCTTCCTTCACAAAATACATTGCACCTGACTCTCAATGGGGAAAAGAAACACTCTGTAAGACTTAAGTGCACTCAAAGAATTCAGCTCTCAGTTTATTACTAAAAAACAATACTCAGGTAAAAGTAAAAATTTAATTAAGCTCTTTTTAAGGTGACTTAACACCTGGAAACAAAAATACCAGATCCATGGAAACAATTCCATGCAGAAAATAGGCTGCATGCAGCCTACAGTGTGAGAGTGATAGACAAGGGTTCAGAAGGACCCAAAACAAAGGTCATTTTCTACCAGCATTTATGAAGTCCAACATTTTTTAAATGCTTCCAGCACTCACCTGAGAAAGTAAGGCTTCACATAAAACTTAAAATCTTCCCCTTCAAAAAACAAGTCAAGCTCTGACACTCTCGCATAAGGCACTCTGATGATTATGGTAAGAAAATCTGGATCCTGGCTCAGCTCAAAATCTGGGGTTATCATGATGAATCCAGCAAGGAGAACCTGCCAGCAGGAGCACAGCCCTATAGAAGAGGGAGCAGGAAAAGATTATTGCAGCTGCTGTTTTATGGCAGTAAGAAGTGTGTCCTGAAGACTCTCTATGGCCACTTCTGATTCTCACAGAGTCAAGAAGAAAACATTTACGACAACAGCAAGAAAAAAGCGCACTCTCATTGATGACCTGAGGGTACCATCTTGCTGCACCGCTAGAAAACAAATTTATGCCAATAAACAGAAACATTTGGAGCACATGGAATTAATCACGCTCATTACAAGCGCATCACGTCCAGCCTCAGAATTTCTTGCAAGTTCTGTTTCAAACCTCGCAGCGAGCTGACCGTAAGCCAACGCCTGACGGTGAAAACCACCGCACAAACGCGCACAGCGAGCGCTGCCGCGCCTCGTACGGCGCACCGACCCGCTGCGCGAGGGCTGCGCCCGATCTCGGGGCCGCAGTTCCGGAGCCACGCGAAAGGGAGCCGCAAACCGCCCCGCCGCTTCCCGCCGGAAGGCCGCACCTCAGTGCTCCGCGGTCAGCGCTCCGCCGGCAGCTCCGCGCGCCGCTCGCAGCTCCGCGCCGTCCCGCCCCAACCGCGCAGCACGCAGCGCTCACAGCCCGCGCGCCTCTCACCGCGCCCATGCGGCGCCGAGGCGGGCGGTGCGCATGCGCGGAACGGCTCCGCCCCCAGCACCGCCCGCCCGCAGAGAACGGCGGGAGCAGCGCGGGGCGCGGCTGTGCTTCACGGTCCGTGAGGGGGGTTTGGCCGCACTGCGCGTGGGCTTGAGGGGTTTCGAGTACAGACTTCATGAAACAAGTGGCGGCCGGGTGCGAGGCGTCTAACCGGCGGCGTGACTCCATCAGCCGTACGGGGATGAGTGCCGAGTCACCCAGAAGTGATGCGTGGAACAAAATCACCCAGCCCAACCCCACGCATCCCCACTGACAGGCGGTACCCGCGCTGGCGCTGCTCTCCCCCCGCCTGGCGGTGTGTGCTGCTGCTCATGGCTGCCGCGCCCGAACCCAGCCTGCAACCACAGCTCGGCGAGGAGAACTTCGTGACCTCGGTGCCACGGGATTTCTCGAGGCCGGCTATTAGGATGTATTTGGGAGCGCGCCCTGCGGACATCGGCTGTCAGCTGAGCGCTGCTGTCCGTGCAGGGGAGTTGGATGAGATGGCCTTTAAAAGTCCTTTCCAACTCAAACGGTTCTGCCGTCAGACGCTGAACATCAACCACGAAAGGGGGAGAAAGGAGATGAAAAGGTGTACCGAAGTCCCAGCATCTCGATGCTCGTATTCCTTCGCTGTTCTGCAGCCGGTCCCGTTGCAATCCAGCGGTGGGACGAGGCAGCTGGGCTGCAGGACGCCCGCAGCAGCCCGCTGTTCCTCGGAGGTGAAGCACAGCCCGCGTCCCCGCTCGTCACCTGCCCATCCACACGCGCCCCTCGCTGCGCCGAGCCCCGACACGAGCAGAACTCTGTGAACTTGTAAACCCGAGGTACCTTTGGATAGCCCAGCCTCCTCCTCCCGCCGGGAGACGCGATGATCGGCATTAATTCACCGGCGTCGGGCTTCGCACGAAGCGTCCGCGCTCCCGTTCCTCCGGCCGCGAGCGCAGCGCGGTGGAGCGGCTACTCCAGAGAGTACGGTAGGGCGCGCCCCGCCCCTGCTGCCGGGCGCCGGCCGGGGCTCGGCGGCCACGTCCCCGCGCCGGGCCGCGGGCGATGGCGGCGGCGGGCGCGCAGAGGGGCGGGCGGGCGCGCTGAGCTCGCGCCATGCGGCTGTCCTGCAAGGTGGCGGCGGCGCTGCTGGCGCTGGGCAGCCTGCTGCTGCTCTACCTGCTGGTCGGCAGCGCCGCCGCGCCCCCGCGCCCGCCGCCCGCGCCCTCCGCACCCGCCCGCCCCGCCGCGCCCCTCGGCCGCCGGCAGCCGAGGCTCAGCCGGAGCCCGCCGCGGAGGATCGCGCCCGGGGGCGGACTCGCCGCTGCCAGGTAACGGCGGGGCTCGGGAGCCCCACGCGATCGCCCCCGGTGGGAGCGCCGCCCGCCGCTCGCCGTGCCCGGCCACCCGCCCTGAGCGTGCCCTGCCCTGCCCTGCCCTGTACGCCCTGCCCCGCGAACTCGCTCACTCGGCGGCCCTCCAGGCACTCTTTCCCTTATCCCGTGTGAGTCCCCGAGCTGCGCGGCGGTGGAAACCTCCCCCGGTCGCTCTGCTTTAAGCGTGCGGGTTTGTGTGTGTGGTTTAACTGAACGCGTGTGCCGGAGGTGCCACATAAGTGGAGGCGTTGCGCTGTGCGGGCAGGAGCGCCTCTGCGTGCCAGCGATTCTCCGAAGCGGCGGCTTTTCCCGGAGTTCTGGCCTTGTTTCGAGGGCTGCCGTGCGCTCGCTGGCTCAGGAGCTGCTGTCAGCGCTGAGAGCGAGACCTGCTCTGATTTAATGCTGCGGGGAGATGAAAGGTGGCCGGCTCCTTTTGTGCTGCTGCTTTCCAAACGGCTTGGCACCGTCAGATTTCAAGCTATCCGTATTTTGTTTTGAACGCTCTTGATACGTAACTGTGGCAGGAAAGAGTTTGAAATTGTGGTGTATTGTATTCCCCTCTTCAGGGCCTTGGGGATGGATTATTTAAGAAAAACAGTATTCTCATTGCTTCAGAAATGATATGGGCAGTGTGCTTTCAGTGGTGGGAGGACTGCTTTCCCTGTTGCATTCCAACTATATTATGGTTAGTGTGACCTCATATCTAATTAACTTGGTATGTCTTTGTGTCTTTGATTCATGATTTCACAGAGATGTTCTGAATGAAAGGCCACTCCTGTTTCTCGAGCTCTTATCCCTTAACTTACTGAAGCAGTGGGTTTCGTGCAAGCATTGTTACCCTGCTGAATGCAGGAGATGTTTACTGTGGCTGGGAATGCATCATGGACAGAATTCAAATGCATGTATTAAAGCAGGATTATTTCCACCAGCAACTGTACCTCCTGAAGTCATTTTTCTTTAAGGCATATCTTTGCAATTATCATGGAAATCAAGAACCCTGAAGGAGGGAGCACAGAAAGTATGAAACTGCTGGAGAGTGTAAACAACTGCTCCATTTCAATTAACTTTTCACCGAGCATCTTCATGTTCCAAAAGTTGACATTATCAGGCTTTTCTATTATTTAATGACTTTGCAAGTACTTTTTACAAAAGCTGTAGAGTTTTTGTTGCTGTTGTTCTGCAACACAGAACAATCATAGCAACAGAGTGAAATGATAGATTTCAGCCTTGCCTTTGCTTCCACTTTGGGTTGGTTTTTTTCCCCTCGTGTTTGCTGGCAGTGTATGAGCCTGTGCTGCTGACACCAGCGAGGGTTGCATTACTGAGAAGTCCAGTTCTGAGTGTCCAATTCTGATGCTTACTGAAAAATTCTGCACATTGTTAGATAATACCACAAGAAAATGCGCTTAGTTGAGGGTACCTTAAAAAAATAATTTTTGGTGAATGATGTAAATAAAGTGGTTGGAGGAGACGCCTGCCTTCTTGGGAAAGAAAAGCAGTCTGCTAACAGGTGCTATGCTGGTACAGATCACATCCACACAGCACGGAAAGGTGTCAGGCAGTGGGGTCAGCTTGTCTTGACGAGTCTGATCCAAAATACACTGGAAGCAGTGCGGAGACTGTTCTCAGAGGCTTGAATTTGAAATAGAGGAAACAGGCAGTGCACAGGTGTGACATAATTCACGTAGGTGTTAGCTTCAGGAGTGAGCACTCCGTTCCTTCAGGAGGATTTCCTCATGCAGGTGCTTACAGTAAAGCACATCAAATGTAATATGCTGAATCGAGGCCATTCTTACCTGTTTGTTCCTATAAAATAACGATTATTTTAGTTGCTCCTTGTGAGCCAAGGGAGATTTTTTAGATCAGTGTGAGAGGTGGTTTGTGATCTGATTCCTTCAGGATCAGAGATCTGATGATGTGAGATCTTGTGGCGGTGTGTTTGTGGTCTGCGTGAGCAATTCGGGTAACCTCAGTGAAGGTATGTCTGCGTGAATGTGAAAAGTTGTTCAGCTCTGTTTTCCCACGTTGACTGATACAGTGTTGCCGGAAGAATGCAGGTTTTTGTCTGAGCAGATGGATGTGCGCTGGGTTTACAAGGTCGTGCTGCAGGCGTGGTGAGCTGTAGCTCCACTGGGATTCTCTAATGTTGCTTTCTGTTGCATGAGAACAAGAGAAGACATTTGTTTTCAATTCTTAAGGCGTGCATGTTTCTTCCACTCTAGTCATACGTGATAAGAGCTCTACTGGTTGTGCATTGCCAGTTGGCTGGTGCCTGGCAACTGCTGGCAAACCATTATGTGCCCTGTCTTGGTTGTTAGATGACCTGGGCAAATCTGAAGGTAAGCATCACATTCTGGTTAGCTTGGAAAGAAAGATTTTGATGGTGGTTTTACTGATGATTCCTTTTGGAAGTGGCAAGTTCTGTGGCTTCAACAGGATTTTCTTCCTATGAAGAAGTACACGTATGTGCCAGATCAGTGTGTGTGAGGTATCATAAAGCACAAAAGCTCTTTCACATTTGAAGGGCAGATGTGACCACACTTTCTTCCAGGAAACTAAACATGCTTAATAGAAACTTTGCCAAAGCTAAACATATCTTCTATGGCAACCGGTCAAGATATTTTTTCTCTCTGCTCCCTGTGTGCAAGACACATGCAAGTTTGGCTTGAGTTTGATAGGCCATAATATCATGCTGATGGCCTGAATGCCTCGTACTTCACTAACAAAGAACATTCTTGATAAAAAAAGATGGAAACATTCATTCTGGTTTGAGTGTTTTCCCTCTTAGTCTGAGCGGTGGGAGGAGGTTGAAATTTCAACAGTTCTTTTTATTGTCAGTGCCTACAGTGAGTTTTATGCAACTGCATTAAAGTGAGAACTTTTATTTTAAAAACATTTTGACACTTTCTAATTTATATTTTAAAGAGTGTGAGAGCATGTGTTTCATATAACAGAGCCACTGTTGGGCATTGACTCAGCGCTGACTCTCAGGAAAGGAGCCCATTTAGTGAATCACCCGTTTTGATACATTGCCTAAATCTAACCTTGTTTACGCTGCGAGAGCAAATGAGATCATAATAAGAAGAAGGTTTCAAAAGCTAACAACTATATTGCATTTTGTAAGAATCTGCATGCATTATCTTTCTCTCTGGAATAAATTTGAAGGCTTGAATAGATTAGCAGGCTCTATAATGAGATGGGAATGCGTTATTTTGAATGGATCTGGATTGATTTAGACAGGTTTGGGGTTAATTATGTTTGAGACACTTTGCCTGTGACTAATAAGAAAATTGCATGTAATCAAAACTTTAAGGCCTAGGAATGTACGCTGTTGTGCTTGGGCACTCAGGCTTCTGTGATGTCCGTAACCATGCCTGAAAAAAATGTATGCAGTAAATAAAATGCCATTGGGTAACTGGATGGGAGTTGGTCTGTTTTGTTGGAAAGCTTTTGCTATAGCATTGTATCGTGCTACATCTCACCGAGTCAGGCTTTTCAGCTGTTTCACGGGGATTTATTCTGCAATTATTTTGTTATGCTTTCTGCAATGCTTAGTCTTAAGCAAATGTTTAGTTTTGAAGCCATACGTATGGGAACTGTTGAGTCACGGCCTGAACCACTGATTGAGCAGCTGGGGAAAGGACCAGGTCAGCTCTGGGAGCACAGGTGAAGGCAATTCAGGTGTGTGACTGGAAGGGGTGGAGCCTGGCTGCACCTCTCAGACCTCATTTAAGGACTGCCTCTGGGGAAGGGTCTCTTCCTTGAGATCTCTCCTTGGTGAAGCTTTTCCCTGCAAACCTGGAGTCTTCCAGTACAGGTGAGTAATGTTCTTCCCTTCCTTTATAGCACCTCTCTATTGTGGCAGTCCTTTTGTCATCGTGCCTTTGTTGTAATGCCTTTCCCATTGTATTGATCTGTCCAGTTGCTACACATATAATAATGTAATGGGGGAACAGCAAATAATTTTCTTTAAACAGATGGATAAAAGAGAACAGAGTAGGAGAGTTTGACATAATGTTATTTTAGTTAGTATTTTTTCAGTTAAATTTCTAATATATCAGTAAGATACCCTTATGTACTGAATCAGGGAGATGAAGAGTGAGGTGACAAAGATCTGCGTATTTGCCTTCCCTGAAGCCTAACTTTTTCTGTACTCCTTGTGTGTGTTTGTTTGTTTTTTAAGGCTTTCAGATAATAATGATTCTATGAAGACCAAGCTGAGATATTTCTAAATGTTTCCTGCTATGGTGCTTTCTTATCTCCCTTTCTAGCTCACCTTTGTTCTCACAGTCCTCTTGGTTTCCTAGTGTACTTAGAGATACAAAATCTTGTGCTGTGATCTCCCAATGTTCTTTTGTAACTTCTTGCTACTTACATCTTTTTATTCCCGCTAAGATCAGGTTCTCATGATTTGTAATGACTCCAAAGCCCAGCTTTCTCCTCCCCTCTGGGGCCAGGAAGGTGTCTGTGTTGGCAGAAGGTATTCCTCTTGTTCATCCTTGCCCCCTGTGGGCTTGTAGGACTGCCTCTGCTGTCAGTGGATTTCTTCTGCTGAGTCTGTTCTTTGGAAGCCCTGTATACATATACTGGGTTTGTCAATGTGCAATAGCTGTAGGATGGAGTTCACTGTGGCTAAAATTTGCAAAACAAAAACTTAGTGACTTGGTGTAGGGCTGTGAGAAGTTAAAGCTCTGAGTTCAGTCCCTCTCCCAGTGAATTTTATTGCCACAGGCCCTATTAAAGCAGTTCTCATCCTGCATATGGCTTGATTTAGAGACTCAATTAAGAGGAAACATTAAGGAGATAGGGGGTGGGGGGAAGCAGGTCTGTGTGAGCAGCTAATTATTCACTTTAATAATTCAGTGGTTTTTACACTAATAAGTTGGAAAGTAAATACCACTTTATATAGACATGGTATTCTATTACTTACACGCTGATAAAATTGAAGTTTAATTAAGACTATAGCCTAAGACTTTAAACCATTAATGAAACACATTGCTTTGTATAGCAAGTAAAGTACCACTTCTTGGTATTCCTTAACACAAAAGTTGGTTACTCCATCGCAGAGAAGGCTGCTGTTATACTGAATAGCACTTTAATGTCTGGAGAAGATAATTACAGCTTCATTGACTATAACTTTTATTTAGAGCTTTTGTTTAATAGTGTTAACTTTACTGATTAGTTATATATATATATATATATATATATATATATAATATAAAAGTGTGTGCTGAGAACAGGCAGGGATTGATATCCTCTGTTCAGTGGTATGTCAAGAGCTGCTAGTGAGCTATGATTAGCCTTCAAACTCTACTATAATGATTACAATGCTTGTGACTTCCTTACTTTATCACCACTAATCCATCTAGAGGAGCATAAATGCCATCTGTTGGGATGTGAGTACAATACAGTAGCATCATTATCAGAGGATGTGGTTTTTACCTCTGTACTGACTGTAGGGGAAGGGCATAAAACCTTAAGGCCATATTTTCAAAACATCTCTAAGTCCCCTGAAAGGACTCTGATGTTTCTGAGTAGCAAATAGCCTGAATATGCTGTGTTTGTGCAGGTTCAGGCCAGATAAAATTGAATTAAAGCCTACACATTGGGGCTAAGTGGAAAAACCTACAGCTTTGCCTTAAACTGCTTGTGAAATGTAGTCTGATTCATCTGGGACAAAGGGATGTTTGTTTTGAAAAAATCCATATTTTAGCCAAATTTCAGGGATTCCACCCAGTAAAATGCAGAGCAGTCCTTTGAAACAATGCCAGTACCTTCAGGCCGGGATTGAAGCATGCATTTTTAAAAGCAAAATTAACTGTTAGAATAATTTACATATGGATGGATGATTTTTTAATGTAAGGGCTAGTTGTCTTGTTCCAATCTAACTAGAAGGTGCGATCCTGGTAATGAAACTACTGGCTACAGTTCTGTAACCTGCACTGTGTTTGAGGACTGGCCATCCTGGCTGTGTAACCTCAAAGCTAGGAAGGAAAGCACTTGGTAAGCTGTGGTCTGGTTTGCAGTGCTGTTGAATTGGTTTCATGTGTGGGTGCAGTGTGGTGATTTATGCAAGATCAGAAAGGTAGGAAAATTCTTAAAATAGCGTATTTATTTGTGAAGTCATTTTAATACTTGGTTTGTACCACTGACAGGAACTGGCACCCAATTACATTTCTGTGGATGTCTAATCAGGGAAAAAACATTCTGATCCTCGACATGATGGAAAGGAAGGAGAAAAAAAAAAAAATGTATCTTGGTGCAGAAATCTCTTCATGTTTACCTCAATTTATTTCTGTCTATTTATGAATTTTCAGGAAGCCTGGAGAACAAAAGCGTTCAAAAGAACCTTCATCTTTACAATGCATGCATCTGGCAGTTGTGGCGTGTGGGGACCGGCTGGAAGAGACTCTCATCATGCTGAAATCAGCAGTTCTCTTTAGCAACAGGAGGCTCTGCTTTCACATTTTTTCTGAGGATTCCCTTAAGCCTGAATTCAACAAGAAAGTGAGTTCTGTGTTGTTCAGTAGATAAATACATGGGTTAGTTATAAGCTGCAGATCCCAGAGCACAACTGCACTGACATCAACAAGTAACAGCTAAGCATTTTATTATTGGAAGTGGTTTCTAAATTCCCTATACATGCCTATTAAACAACAACACCTTATATAGTATGTACTGTCTAATTCTTCTGTGAATGTTTTCAGTTACAGGAATGGCCCTCCTCGTATACAAAGAAATTTGAATACAACATTTACCCAATAACCTTCTCAGTAGGAAATGCTCAGGAATGGAAGAAGTTATTCAAACCATGTGCTGCCCAGCGCCTTTTTCTTCCGGTAAGGCACCTGGTTTCTGAGTAGGTTGCTTCAGGAGAGAGAGAAAAGGGGGGGAAAAAAAAGATTTCCACAGGAAGGAAACTTTGGTGTAATATTAAAACAATTTTTGGGCTGAAACATCTGCCAAAAGATATTTTAATCTGTGCTTTCGCTGCTTTAAAAAAAAAAAGAAAACAAACAAACCAGAAAATCCAGCCTTGCTTTTCTTTCCTAGTGAGGAATATGGTTCTTATTTGTCTCTAGTTCCACTAGGCTCTCAGTGGAACTTCCACTTAAGACTCAGTGTGAGAGCTCCTGCAGGGTAGATGCTGCATGCCTTCCATAAATAACATTCTTTTCAGTGTGCAGTCATCATATCTCTTTATCCACTATCTCCATTTCCTTATGTTGGTCCTCAGAATGATGCTTTCAGTAATCTCTTCTCTTGTGTGAGTGTGTAAGGTGTGCCCTTACAGAATAGTTCCATTGTGTGCAAGGTCAGATTTCGTGCACGTGCCTCATGTGCTATGGAATACTCATGTCCCCAGAAAACTTGTGTTCTTTGCTGTATAATACTTAGAGTTGTAAATATGGAAAATATTTAAGGCTGCTGGAGAGAAGTAACATGTTGGTAACAGTTTTGCATATGCAGAGTTTAAAGAACTTATGCAATAAAGCAGTTTCTGTGAAATTGAGAACAGACATCAAAATATCTCTTGCATTGCTGGTTGGTTGGGGTGACTCCAGTGAAGTGACATGCTGCTCACACAGTCCAGAGCTCTTCATTGCCATCTTCTGAGAAATAAGGGGACAAAGAAATCTTTACTTTTTCAGATGGAAACAATCAGGAGACAGCTGCATGTCCAGATACTTTAGACTATGAATACATATGTGAGAAAATATGTGCTGTCAGCAGTTCTGTTTATCTGCTGTTTAGGGCTGGGCTTTCAAATGCACAAAGGCCAGATGGGCTGGAAGTAATTCCATCTTCAACTGGGATCCTCTGTTCCCTGAGTAAATATTTATATCACCTGGAAAATAATCCTTCAGTGTTAGTTTGTTCTGTACAGATTGGTTGTAAGGATTTACTCTGGTGCTGTTTTCACTAGGCAAACACAATTTTCTGCTCTTCCTATATCTGCAGTATTTTTGTCATTTTGGTAGAGACACTTGTCACAGAAATGGTTATCAGTGTTCTGATGATAGAGAAGAATTATGCATTCATGCTGATTCATTTAAGCTGGGCAGTGCTTTTCTGGCTCCTTCCTTGTTGCCTGCTCCATTTCTAAAGTTTAGAGTTCCCTAGTAACTTCTTGCAAGGAATATTAGATCATTGCTTGTTTTCTTAGGAAAACTGTGAAGCAGACCAAACAGTGAATGTTTGTTTCTCTGTTTCTCTTGGGGCAGTTGCAAGATATTGTGTGTAGCCAGGCTGAGGTTTAAGGCTTTCAGTAAGCAGAGCTGTCTGAGAACAGCAGTGGCTGATGCAAGTTGATGTGGATATAATGAGGAAAATGAGTTGTAGTGATAGCTGAGGTGGCAAGTGTCCACTTAGATTTCTGCTGTTCAGGTCCACAGCCTCAGTCTGGGTAATTTCAGCCACCATTATTTTTACTGTTATTTGATAACCAGGTTCTGATATCCCCTTTGAATAAGACAGTGCTGCAAAAGTCCTGTCTGCACGTGGTGGGAGCAGATAATCTTTAGTGCTGTTGTTTAGAGGACTGTTTTGACTTTTATGTATTGCTTATCCTTTCCTGTGCTCAGCATTTTCTACCACAGCAGTGGAAAATGACTGGATTTAAGAAGGATCCCAGAAGAGCAGTAGCTGAGTTTATCAGCTGTTTAGCCCTCAGTTGTGCAAATTGTCTTGTTCCTGATAATGCTAAGCCTGAGTGGAATGTGAGCCTTTGATTCACAAGTGCCTTTCCTGCCAAAGAATCTTCACCAGCAGGCATGTGAAAGCAGGCAGGAGGGGATGAGGAATGTGTTAAAGGAAAATTGTGTGAGAATCTTTCAGGGGTTTCACTGGCTGATAAAACTAGAGCTATGGGATGTGATCCTGCAGCTTGTAGTAATGAATTGGTTTGTACTGGGTAACAGGTTAATGAATGTATTTGCAGTTTGTTGAATCAGCTTGAGATACTCAAATATTTAGTAAGATGATATGGCAGCCTGCATTTTTGTAGAGCCATTCTGTGACATCTGATCTTATATTTGCTACACAAATGAGAGGAAGAAGCTTCTGAGTAGGTAGGTTCCGTGGAAACTTGGAAGTCTAAATATCTTGCTGTGGTCTGTTTCAATAAAACCATCAATGTGGTCTTCAAAGGCAGAGTAAGGAAGATGTAGATCTTAACACAATTTCTAAATGCTTAAAAAAGATGAAACTTAAAAAAAAAAAAAAAAAAAACAAAAAACCACACTAGAGGGGAATGCTCTCAGCAGTCACCTGACATCTTCTGTAAACAGAAAGGTAAAAATTTCTTTACTGAGGAGAAATTTTTTTCATGTGCTGTCAAATTCAGGGATGTGGTGATGATGGGCAGCTCTGTATGGCCTGAGAAAACTGTTGTGCAATGCTAGGAAGGTTGGCAAAATGTAGCCTGTTCAGTGTTCAAGTAGCCCTATAATACATGTTGATGTTGTGTGTGGTTCACTGTATAGTCAATGAATAGAAAAATGTTATAATTATGAAATAAACGAGAGTTTGGCAAAGCAGTTTATAATAACAAAAAGAGAATAGACAGAAAGCTTACCCATGTCCTGGGCTCGCTGCAAAACTCCAGAGGAGGGATCTCCAGAAGAGATCCTTCCCCACTGGTAGTCAGCTCTTAAGTGGGTCTAGGAGAGGTGCAGCCAGGCTCCACCCCTTCTGGCAGCACAGGTGAATTGCCTTCACCTGTACTGCTGTGGCTGATTCATTGCTTGCCTCACGTGATCAATCAGAGGTTCAGGCTGTTATTCAGCAGTTCCCATACATTCACATATGTAGAAACAGGAAAATTCCTTATATTCTCTATCCCAAAAATTATGCAAGAAGTGTATGTGAAGCTAAGACTTAATTCTTATCCAGTTCCTGTTGTATGCCAAATGGGTTATGGCTTTTTCTCCTTCCTGCCTCCTTCTTCCTACACCCCAATCAATATCAGCCAACACCATATTTTCTTCTGGTTTTTGGGTAGCTTGGGGTGGAAGGGTTAGTCTGACCGGACCATAAAGATTCCTGAGGATAATCCTAAATATCTGTGGTTGTTTTTTTTTTTCAATGAGAGCACAGTTGTGACATTTGAACTGCTTTGTAGTACTAACATTGATGTTAAAACGCAATGTGTTCTGACCTAATGAATACCGCACCACAGAGCTGACTTTCAGCTGGTTCTAAGACAGCAATACAGAACTGCTGAAACAACCAGGTAAAATAAACCTTTGGGGATTTTTGGATAATTTTATTTGTAGTAGTGACTAACACTTGAGCCTTTTCTCAAGACACTGAATCTACTGAAGGTAGACTAACATTATCCCCATGTTCTCTTGAGAATGAAGAAGTAACCTACTCAATGGATCAGTGGAGTAACGCTGGGGATAGATGTAAGGGCCTTATCAAGACAAAATTCTGTTGTAACTTGAGTTAATTGCTAATTACAGTTTAGTAACTCTAATTTGTGGTACTACATTAGCATCAAGATGCAAACTTAATTGTGGCTCACTGATTCATCTGTAATTTTGGATAAAGCTCAGCTAAATTAACACGCTAGCTGTTGCAAGCCATCATGTAACACAACTTCTCAATATTCCAATATGTGTTTACACAGTAGCATGTTATTACTTGCCAGTCTTGCTAACACGGGAGAATCTACAGAGAGAAGTTGTGAAATGAAATTACAGATAATTGAGTATTTAAGTGAAGTGTCAGGCTAAATATAGCAAGTTCTGTACAGAACTTTGATTTACTAAGAGTACTCTCTATTGCTGGAAAAAAACACCAGCCTTCTCAAGCACCCATAGTGCAGGAGATAAGTGCAGTCAACCCATATTTCTGACCATTCATTTTAATGTCATGGACTGTCAGGTATGTCTACATGGTTTGTGCCAGCAGACAAACTCAGGATACCAGGCAGTCCTGTGTTGCTTCTGTTGCAGGTCAGGCATGCATCTGTTTTAAGCTGCAGTCAGTTGCCCTGACTGGAGCAGAGCCCAAGGACTGAGGTCTGGTACCTCCACCTGCTTTGTGTTGCATGGCTGCTCCTGACATCAAAAATCAGCAGCCAAAAATGCACAACCTTCTGTCATTTGCTTTTGATTCATTAGAAGTTAAATATTGTTTTGAGTTCTGTGGAAAGCATAACATCTTTCTGAAAGCTGTATGTAGATTTGGAACACAATGTTTGAAAACAGAATTACCTGAAAGCTATGGGACAAGGGGAATGCCAGAATTACTTAAATGAATTTTTATCCCCAGTGTAACTCCATTGAAATCCAGGGTGTTAAGCAAGGATCTCTTAGAGTTGTGATTTCTGAAATTAAATTCTTCCACCCAAGGCTAAGTTAAATGCACAGCCAGAAGGGGACGTGATCAATTCAAACTGACATGTAGGTTTTAAATAAGTCTTAACACTTTGCATGTGAAGAGGAAAGTGTGAAGGGCTTACAAGGAGCAGCACAGCTTTTCTTTCAGCCTGTTGTTACTGCAGGGCAGCAGCTTGGACAGGAGAGACAGGAATCTTTTGGCAGACCAGGAAAGGAAGGTGTATGAATCTAAGTGTAGGATGACTAAGATGGAAAACATGGAGTTGAATACCAGTAGGCACTCACTGTACAAAGAACTGGAAAATTTGCTTGAATCTATTTATATTCAGGAAAACTATTACAGTCCTTTGACTTTCACAGAATGAGTTTTATTTGTATGTTTGCAGTTACTGGAGAAAGAAAAACACCTATGTTTTTCTGATGGAAGAGGCAGTGCTCACCCTGGCACTTAGGTCTGAGAGGGGTTCCCAAGTGCATGTGTTGAACTCTCCCCTTAATTCTCTGCTGGGAAATGCCTAAATCTGTCTCTCTGCTGGGGCATTATTTAAAAAAATAAAACAAAAATCCTGATTTGCTCTGCAGTGTGCTGCTGTCCCTCAGGCAGAATCTAATAGCTTTTTATCATGCTCTTTGTGTTTGAGTGTTATCTCCCATCTTGGACTAAATTTGGGGAGATTTTTCCTTATACTTTCACTTTATGAGTTAATACGGTGGATCCCTGTGGATTAGGTCTTGTCAGTGCTACATAATAATATGCATTATCAAAAATATCCTTAAGCTAAAAATCCTTTTCTTTTTTCAACTACCTGTCCTCTGCTGACTTAAAGGATTTTTTTATTGTTAAGTATTGGACTTCAGCTCTTTAGTGCATGACTGAGTTAATGTCACTCATTTATTGATATCTTCACATGTTGTTTTGTGTCGAAGAATTATTGACAGTGTATTTTGCTGCTATCTCCTATACAGTGAAGTGGTCTGGACTGTGTTGGACTTCTTTATATGATTGTTGTAAGCCAGATGTACAGACACTTGCTGCCTTGTGCCTGTCCTGCTATGTAGAAAGAACATATAGTTATGTCAGGAATTTGTTAAACTTGGCTGAATGTCAGTTCAAATTGTAAAGGGTTCCATCAGGTGAAAAATCTCGATCAGTACTCATAGATTTGGCAATGTAATTAATGAATGTCTGACCATGTCTTATCAAGTGAACAAAACACTTTTTCAAAATCTAATTGTTCTCTCTGTCTTTCACAAATAACCTTTACATTTCAATTCATGTAAAAAATCAATTTATTTGGTAGTATTAAGTTATGTGTGTAAATAGGAGAGGTGGTCATTAGCATCACTGCAATCAGACAAGTGACCGATGGTTCCAGTCCAATGCCTGGTGCAAATCAGTAGCCCTTTGGATTTGCTTTTCAGGTAAAGAGGGAGAGAAATTAGATTTGGAGATGAGAGCATAGTAAAAATCCAGGAATTTTTGAATAGTTTTCTAAAATAATAAAGAGCAACAAAAGTTCAGTTGAATCTGATGGTCTACCTGAGCAAGTGATATTTACTACCTTCCAAACAGCTGCTGTTGACAGCAAGGGAGTTTTCTCAATTATTGAAGCAATATATAATTTGCCCTACTGAAATTGAGGAATGAGTATGTAAGCACTTGGATAGCCACAAGGGGGAACATTGTTAACAAGAATAGATGAAATATTTTGGATCTAATTTACATTTACACCCCTGTGACTTGACTAACTTTGTTGTTACTCCTGATACAGTCTGATAACAGAGATCTGACCTGATGAGTTTTAATAGAACATTTCTACTCACTAAGGGATGTTTTATTCTTCAGGAGTATAATTATGCATTTTTGTGATTAGTAAGTTTTTCTTAATTAATGTAAAACATTTTTATGTGTTAACATTGAATGTAAGTTTCTTTGTGTAGGAACACGTGGTTGTAATAAGAAGAATTGTTCCTGTATGTAATTACATTTTAGACTATAAATCAGCAACTAATTTATATTAGCAGTTCAGTGTAGAAGTACCTTTTGCCAGTAATCTTCCTTTTTGTTATCTGTTTGGTTTCTTTTTCATCTCTTCTTACTGTGCAAACCCAAAAGGTTATTTTAAAGGATGTGGATTCTCTCCTTTATGTGGACACCGATGTTCTCTTCCTGAGGCCCATCGATGACATCTGGCACATCCTGAAAGAATTCAACTCAACGCAGCTAGCTGCTATGGCCCCAGAGCACGAAATACCAAAGATTGGCTGGTACAGTCGGTTTGCACGTCACCCGTATTATGGGACAACTGGAGTCAATTCTGGAGTGATGCTAATGAATTTAACACGGATACGCAACACTCAGTTCAGGGTGAGAAGGAATACAGCTGTTGCAGTAACGGGTGACTTGTGGATTCTTCACATCTCTTAAAATTTAGTACAAAAATTAAATGAAGTTTAGATTATAAAGAATCTGAAAAATATGGAATGTATATTGCAATTCTTCTAGAATTAAATGAAAATGATTGTGAAAACATGAGGAATATCCTCATGAGGCTGAAGTATTAAGGTCTTGCTGATGAAGCAGTCTTCTTGCAGTAGTGAAACTGAGCTTCTTCAGCATTTTGCTCTCTCTTCACAGGTACATTAAAGAATAACTTCAGGGACCTTCAGTGCAATCACTGTTTTTTAAAATTGAGAAGCTTGATGTAAATATCCAGAGAAATTGGTAATTGTTTGCATCCAAAGTGAATAAAATGTTGCTTTCTGCTGCAGACCAAATGATTCTGTGAATTGATAAAAATGAAAAGGGAATGTTTTCACTGCCTAAACTGCCATCTCTTTTTTTATGAAAGGCTTATCATGATAAATCTTGCTTGTTTTGTTGAGCATGTGCTCTGTAACCTCTTAAGAAACTTAATTTGCCCCTGAGGGGATCTTATTCTTCAGTCAAGGCCTGAAGTTGCCTGTAACATTTCAGGAGCAATTTGATTGAAAAAAATTAAACCAACTTGCTCTTAGTATCAGAGTTCCCTAAGAAAGGACAATAATTTTCAGTTTGCTTTTTTTCTCACCTCTCTACCTCAATTTTCAGCTCATCCCTGCATTTATTTTCCACTTCTCCCTAGTGTTGCTCAGTATAGGTAGGTTCTGAATAGCAGAAGCTGACATCAAAGCTTGACTTTGTTTTCCTGTTTATTAGATGAATAGAGCACAATCAGCTTCACTGTTCCAGCCCTAACCAGGGCAATATTTCCTAGCAGTTCTTTTTTTCTAGGTATCTTGACATGGCTTTGCAGACTTAGAATTATGTGGTCACTGTGCTCTGAGTCATATATCATATCAACAATGACAGCAGTAATTCATTGTTTTTGTTTTTCTGCCCTGCAGAACAGCATGATACCAAGTGGTTTGACTTGGGAGGAAATGCTATATCCGTTATATCAAAAGTACAAAAACTACATTACATGGGGAGACCAGGATTTACTAAATATTATTTTTTACTTTAACCCAGGTAAGTAAGCTTTCTTGAAGTGATGTTTACCTGTGCTAAGAACACTTACTGACTTTACTAAAAGCAAAAAAGTGCCTTTTGTTACTTCTGCTATGTGTAGTGTACTCTGGCAAGAAGGTAATGTTGTAAGCACAGCCAGGATTGTATTCCCTTAGGTGAACTTAAGAACAGAATCAGATTGGATTTATTTTTATTTATTTCATCTTCTTTTCTTCTGTACTAAGGAATCATAGTATATGTAATTGGATGTAGTCAAATACAGCTAACATAAGGGAAAGCAAAGCAAGCTAACATTTGTTTATTACAGTCTGATGCCAGACATCAGTGTCCTTAATATGCTATGTGCTAGTCTCAAACCTGGGGGAAAAATAAAGTGAGGAAAATCTTTGTTATGAGATTATAAATTAACTTAAAAAAAAAAAAACAACCACAGAAATGTTAGTCTTCTGGAGGAAGAACACGAAATCAGATTAGTTGTGAAGTCAAACTCATGCTGCTAATTTAAGTGTGGAGGAGGAAAAAAAAACAATATGATAAGCATTCTCTTCTGTACTGTGGTGTGCCTCTTCCTTGTAACTTGTAAATAATTGTTTTACAAACAAACATTAGACAGCACAAGAAAAAGAAAACCAAGTAACTGGATGCTACTAAAACAGCAGAGCAGACTTTGGAGGTAAATTGCTGGATTGTTAAAACTGGCCTGGGAAGAAATCACCTGAGACTGCTGTAGGTGGCTTTCTGTGGATACAGTGTGCTGGCTTAAAACTGCATGGATCTGTGTTACCTGGCATCTGAGGAGATGCACCCTTCTTCCTGTCTCCCAAAGCTGTTTTGATGATTGATGTATTTGAAGGATTGTAGAGCAGCTGGAGTCCAAGTCCAGCTGTGACAGCAAAAAATGTGTGGAAGAGCCATGGTGAGAAGAAGATCAAGAATAATCAAATGACATGTAATAAGCTGATAAGAACCTGATGACATCCTTTCCCCAAAATAACCTGCTGAGGAGCTGTGCTCACAAACATCTGTTCAGGCTTACTGAAAGATCCCTGTTAACTGCAGCAGGGTTTGGATTGGTGCACTGCAGCGCTTCTTGTGCTTTCGGCAACACTGGGGAGCAATTCTGGATGTGTGATAGGTCATACTGAATGGAAACCACTTACAATTTGCTCTCTCTGGAGCAGTCTTCTGCTGGAGAGCCTTAGGGGAAGAAGTGTTTCAGAATAGTGTTCTCTTACTTCCTCAACAAACACACAGGACCAGCTGCAGATTTTCTGGGAAGCTAAGAAAGGCCAAATGGAGAATTCCATCTTCAGTGCTTCTGACAGAGACTGCCAGCGTAGTGCAGTGATTCATTGTAGTCCATTTCTATAGGAAAGGATCACAGGCACTGACACGATTTATTATAAGCATATTGTAAATACATGCATGGAGGAAACAAAACAAAACAAAAAAATCAGTAGGCTTCAAGGTCTCTTGAGAAATTAGACTCATCTTTAAAATAGCCTAGATCTTAGAATTTAACAGATAACCACTCTTGAGAACATGGTGGATAATATATAGCACCTCTTGTGCTCTGCTTTGTGTCCATATAAAAAATTGTAGCTTCAGTGAGAGATCCATCAGCAAACACTGGATATGCATAGCAAGCTTTTGCTGCTGTCTCCAGAAGGATTCAGGATTCTGGAAAACAGTGAGTGCTGTGTGCTTGCCTAACACTTCTGTAACTCTGAAAACTTCTTCCTAGGGCAGAAAACTCAGAACAGAGCCACATTCTCTAGATTTGATTCAGTCATTTTTAACTTTGTAAAATGAACTCTTGATTTGTTTGCACCCGGTCTTTGCATTGCCTTCTCTTTTGGTTAGTTCCAGTCTGACAGTGCTGAGACAGGTGTAGCCATCCTCAGAGGAAAGGAAGCTTTTATGTCTAGTTGCTGCTTTGGACCTTTGCAAAAGAAGTAATTGCATATTTTTTTTTTCCTGACCATCAGTTCCCACTTTTCTACAGAACACAATGTAACTTGTAACTCATTTAATGTGTTTTTTTTGTTGTTTTTTTCTCCCCACTGCCTCTGACTGACATTGGTAGAGTGTCTCTATGTGTTTCCATGTCAGTGGAACTACCGACCTGACCACTGTATGTATGGAAGTAACTGTAAAGGCGCAGAAGAAGAAGGTGTCTCTATTCTGCATGGAAATAGAGGTGTCTACCATGATGATAAGCAGCCTACATTCAAGGCACTCTATGAAGTGATACGTGATGTAAGTCTTCTATTTTGATAGGGGATGTCCTTTTATTTCAGTGCAGATTGTATCTTTAGCCAGGTCACTCAGATTGTTATTACAGCAGATGAAGCTGAGCATGCCCATCAGGCACAAATGACAAAGGTGTTGTGGCCTGTCCCGTTTCACAGTCCTTCATTTTATGGTAAACTTGTAATCAGAAAGTCTGATAAATTGCTTTTCTGGATGGAGGAATAATTGAATGGAGTTCTTTCTGCTGGCATGGTGTCCCTGGTTCATAAATGCCCAATAAAATCTTGTACTCCCTAAGCAGCTGGAGCCTCTACACACATAGAAGGCAGATAATTGTTTCAGTAGCTTGCATACAGACACAAGTCCATATTTCCTCTTTGAGGAGGAGTTCAAGTTGTAGGCTTCCTGGTCCATATGCAAAGTGAGAGACTGTCATCAGTTAATGTAATCTGCATGTGTGTGGACATGTGAATTTGTGCTGAAGTTCCAGAATTCTCCCTTCTTTTAAAACATTGCAGTATCCCCCCACTGTTGTCCTTACCAAAAAGAGAGCTGGACTAAAAACTAATAACTATTTTTCTCTTTTTTTTCTTTAGTTTCCATTTGAAGACAATCTCTTCCAGTCTCTGTACTATCCTCTTCAGTCTAAGTTCCTGGATACAGTGCACACTTTATGTGGGAGAATTCCACAAGTATTTTTGAAGCAAATTGAGAAAACTATGAAGAAGGTGTATGAAAATCGTGTCATTGTCTACCTGGGGGCCAACCACAGATACTAAATGTAGTTGTATTTTTACATGAAACTTGCACCTAGGTGGCTTGTGCCTAGAAGTCTTAAAGCATTTAAATGAAGGATGTTACCTCTTTGTCTTAAACTCAAAAAAAACCCTTATTCGATTTCCTAGTAAATCTCTGAAATTACAAAGTCTGAAGAAGTCCTAGAGATCCACCTAAACAGTCCTTTTGTTCTTTTCCTACTTGTTTGTCTTTTTGTTCCTTCTTTTTGGTTGCAACAGGAAGAGTTGATGATTCTCACTTTGTTTATGAGTTTACTTTATTTGTTTAAGAGCAGCAATATTCACTGTAACTTCTTTTTAGTTACTTTCAAGTTATGCAGAAGTTAGTTCTGAACTGAAGCTCAACAAAAAAAGTGGCATTTTGAGCTATTATGTATGGAATATAACTTCAAATGACATGGCAAGCATCTTTTTCCAAGCGTGTGAGGTGTGAAAGTGCTTGTGACACATCCATAAGAGTGATGTGTGAAAGACACAACATGGCAAACTGCATTGCTACAGAATCATCTGAGTCAAGAAGGTGTTAAGATAGGGAGCCTTCTGTCTTAGCAGGCCTGTGCTGGTCCTAAACAGCACAGAGCAGACAAACAGAATCAGTTTGCTGTTCTCACCTCTGTGCTGCAAATGCTAATCAACAGTTTGCATGTGCTGTGACTCAGAGATGTTATCTTAAAGGCTTTGCCACAGAAGTGTAAATGGACTCATAAAGGACAGAGGCACCTCTGCATTTATTTTGATGGAAAGCCCAGAGATTCATAATGGGAGCCAGACTGGCATTTAAACTTAAGTGTAGATGTCACCCTCTCTCACAGCTTGTCTTATTTACTATTTCAATTGAAGTTTTAGTTGCAGCTTAAAAAAGAAACAGTATTTCTGGATACAGTGAAGTTTGAAAATGTAACCCAAACTAACCTTCAAAAACCAGAAGGCAATGAAGGGAAAACTCAGCACGCTGTTTTGAGAACTTTAAGATAATGTAAGCCTATGATAAGAGGTAAGCCTTTTAATTTAGCAGTAAGGGGAACATAGAGAAGTCTTAGTTTGCTTTTTTTAATTTTATTTTCAAATACCAGAGTAAAGCTGACTGTAGGTCAAATGAGGATAGATGAGACGCATGCTGGCCACTTTGAATCCCTCATTTCCATGGTGTCTATAAGCCACAGAAAGTTGCAGAGCAAAAGCCTTGTTGCCCAGACATTTTAGCTCTGGTGCTAAGTCTCTGAAGTTTAGAAAGCTGTGACCATGTAAGCTATGATTCAGCAGAACCCTCTGGCTGTGGGCACATTAAAATGAAGGAATGGAATTCATTACAAAACAAAGGCATTATTTCATATAAGATGTTTAGGGATCAAAACAGAGCTTTTTATGTTTACAGGAGGTGCTACATTATTTTCAGAAAGCTATTAAAATATATGAAGCATATGCTTTAACATGAAGACTCCTGTTAGTATAATAACCACTTGCCAGAAGAATGGGAGAGTTCTTCCCGCTGTGCTTTTTCTGGGGGGCGGGGGGAAGCTGTAATTTGAGCTCTCCAAAATGTATTAAAACAATTACTTAACTTTGATTTTTGTTGTTGTTGGAATTATTAATTTATATTCTATTACAGCTTCCAAAACCATATTGTATTTGATTTTAACAGTAGTTGGCTCTAATATTAATCTTATTTAGAAACCAGTTTTCATTTATTTCCTATTTTGTACTTGTGGCTAATTCATGTAAATTAGTCAGCCATTATTTCAGCAATGGAATGTGTAAAAACTTAGATGGGCCTTATCCTCTTTTCCTTTTCATATCTTACTTATTTCCAGTGGTGTGTCACACTGAGGAGTGTCATTGTAATGTAGAAAGGAAAACCAAAATCTTTTTCTGTAAATTAGTAGAAACTCCAACATACTGAATGTGTTGCTAACAACAAATCTCCTTGCACATTGACAAAGAAACAACAGGGTGCAGCCCAAAGAACTGTGTCCTGGTTGTGTGAAAGTAAGCCCTAACCTAGCAGCTATTTGATACTCTGAATTCTGTCTCTAGTTGGTAGCCTTATATGCAGTGCATAAATTTAAGCATGTAACCAAGACCTTGCTGTATCAGCGTCAAATATTCAGGTTTTCAATTTGCTATGTTATACTTGAACTTGCTGAAGGTAGATAAGTAGGGGCTTTACATGAAGAGCTGCTGAGCACCTCCTTTTAGCCCAAAGCCATTTAAGAAAGCATCAGGTTACAAATGCATGTTGTACAAAGAACTGCCAGAGTAGGAAGCACTTGGTTGTGTTTCTAAAAGGTCAGAGTTTTTCTAGGTTCTTTGCCTGTATATTACAAAGTGGGCTTAGATAGCTTTGCTATCATTTCTTTTTCTTACAAGTGGAAACTGGAAACTGCTCTGTGAGTGTATGCATGTGTACACCTATGCAACGTGGGTGTACGTGTAAGGAACTATGTAGCTTTCTTGTATCATTTAATTCTTGTGTATTTTTATTTGACAAGTGCACCAATTGTTTATAGCTCCCAAGGAGGCATAGCAGTGCATTTCTGTGTTAAGATCCTCTGGCTTAAAGAACAAATAAATGAAATTTTAAGCAAGCTCTGTATTATGTGCTGTTTTTTTTTTTTGTTAAGTGTGTGTGTACTGGGTCTTGCTGAGTTAGATTAGTAGAAGCTATGTTAACTTTCTGGTTTAGTGTTTTTTCTATGCCCTTTTTGAAGAGTTTAGTTACTTTATATACTGTACTATATAAGTCACCAGAATTCTGAAGTCTGTTCTTAAATTTGCTTTCAATGAGACTGCGATACCCTCTGGTATGTTTTGACCTTTTCCTGTTAAAGGATGTGCAGAGGTATAGCTGCAGGGAAATGTATTCTTTTAACCAGTTGTTGGATTTAAAATGCATGTCTTCTCACCTTGCTGTACTGCATCCTGCAGTGGTACTTGTGGCCTTTCTTATATCTCTTCTGTAGTACTTATGGGATTTGCTCATTTAGCATCATTTGCCTTCTCCCCCCCATCCCCTTTATTTATCTATTTATTTTTTTTGCTACTCTTGTATGGTCATTGCTGCAGTGTCCTTGGTTTTTCTACAGCACCTCTGTGTGATAGAAGTTTGTTAGCTGTCACTTCAGCCAGGCCAGTAGTCTGCCTGGTTATGAAACTGTTTTCTCATTTGCTCAAATTACTCAACTGTGTGGTATGTCGGGCTCAGTCACATTCTCTTTGAAGTCGAGACTACAACTCCAATTGAAATTCATGAGAAAAGGTAAGGCCAGCTGTAAATCAATACAAAATTTCTTCATTTCAGGCATGAGAAGTGTGTAATTGTGTGGTGTTCCACTATATGCTCTGTAATCAGCCTTGTCTATGCTATTCTAATCCAAGATGTTTCACTAGCAACCATGGCTTTACTCAGTACTGAAATATGTGGGGAGGACATGCACAGATTTTCCAAAGTACAGGATAGGCAGAAGCAAGATGGATGCAATAGCAAACAGGACAAGCATTTCTCTGCCCTTTGTGATTCAGGGGATGGAACCTGAACTGTGATTTCTCACATCCTCATTGCCATACAGCTGGATCCTTTGTGTCAATATGAATCTCATTGCTTACAGCTGTCCTATGTGGAACAAATAAACTCTGAGTTCCTCAAAGCAAGGCCTTGGTGCTCAGTTACCACAGCCAAGGATCTGGGTGCTGGGAGAGTTTCTTCTGCCATGCTCTCACTGCTGTAGGTGCTTTGACAACTGTGACTGACTCTAGGAGACATCCTTGTCACACCTATGGGGAGTGTGGAGCATTAATGGAGCTCAGAAAAGAGTTTATATGCCTCTTCGTAAGTATGATCATAGCAGAGGTGACTTCTCTGCCTGCCTGTGACATCTGTAGCTGAGAATAAAATACGACTACCTAGACAGGGGAAAAAAAAGTAGGACTTTCCTAGTAGGATGAATCTTGGCACATTATCAGCTTTAACACAAACCATTGATCATTTAATTTCAAATAATTCCCTTCCAAGTGCTTCAAGAAGATTTTCTTCTCTTGAGGATCAGATGCCTGTAACCATGAGGAAGCCAGCTCTCAGAATGTTTTGCTCCTCTGCATCAGATATAGTGTCTATTTCCCCACATAATATTGGACTATGTACCCACTCATAAATGAGACAGCCCAGATGCATTGGGAGTGTTCCAAAAGCAGGTTCCTGTATCTACCCTGGGATTCATACAGACTGCAGCCTCCTGGAGAGCTATAGTTGATATGAGGTAAGGAAATGTTTGTGCTTCAGAAGAAATGGCAGTGTTTGGAAATTTTGCTTTTGTTCTGGATCAGAATGAGAAACAAACTGTCAACACCTCCTTTGAAGTGAAAATGAAAATTGAGACAAAACATCAACATGAGAATCAGCACTTAAGATTAACAAAACATGTTCATTTTGTAAGGTAAAATATTTTGGTTTGACTTACACAGCTCTATAAATATATCAAAAATACTTGTGTTATTTTCTAAAAATTACATTATAGTCTAAAAATGTTTAACTGATTTAGAATTAAATTACTTTGATCACACTGGTGTGATGCTTTTTCAAGAAAAGTGTCATAGATTGAGCTGCTCCTGCAGAAATGCATTTCCCTAAAAGGGATGCTGTTCCTAAACCTTTCTAACACAGGTTAATTAACCTGCTGTGCTGGTTAGGATTGTGCAAAGGAGGTGCCTTCTCAGTACACACCTCTCAAAAATCTCCTTCCTGTAATGCTCAGTGCCTCTGAAGGACAGATTGTTTTGAATACCAGATTCCTCACACCTTAGGCTCCAGGTGAAAAAACAGGTCTGCTATTAATTTGAATGATCTTCTGGTTTGTTGAGTGTTGTAAAAGAAGCTTTCTATCTATGTACTGGGAGGAAGGTATGAGAAAGTCAGCTTGGAATGAGTGCTACACCTGGCATTGAGTTGCCAAGACCTCTTATAGCTCAAGAAAACGTGTGGGAACTTAATGTGTGGTATTTTGGGGGCTGCTGGTTAACTTAGCTAAAGCCTACAGTATTTACGAAGTATAATCATATTTTTAAATTTTAATGTTTGTACACTCAAAGTAAAACTCCAACCACCAGCTTTTTCTAGATGTTATGCACCATGATTGAACTGATTTTGCCTTCTGATACTCCCAAGCCTTCCAGATCTGTTAAAAGTCTTTTCCTCAGAGGAGGAGGGACTTGAAGTGGCAATGAGGTACTTCAAATGGAAAAAAAAAACAAAACTATTTTGTGTGGTTCAGAAATGCACAACTTTTTAGTGTCATTTTATTGTACCACGCTTGAGTTCCTGCAGCTATTGACTTGAAAACAACAGAAAACATCCAAACCCTGACCTCTCTTGTAAATCCATTGATGTATATTGAAGCATAATATTTTCAGAAGATCGAAGTCTTGATGCTTGGCCTTGAGCATAAGGAAATGAGAACAAACCTGTTTTGCTCGTATTCTGCTGCACTGCATATGCTTGATGTTGTATTCAATTGCTACAGATTTTTTCAAAGCTTGCTAATCAATTTTTGTTCAAACCTAGTGAAAATACCTTACAAAGTGCTGTCTCACATCAGTGAATTAAATTACTTTACGGCTCAGGTTAGGTCAGGACTCTCTCAATACTTAATCTAAACTTTATTACGGAAATCTGCTGGTCATACACCTTGCATTGCTGTCTTCAGCATTAGGGTATTGATCTGTGCCCAGGGGTTTGATAGTATGTAATTTGGTGCAAATTTTCTTTAGTGCTTTAGTCCTAAAGCTCAAAAATCAGTTGGTGTTCATTGTTGTGAAGACCTTCCAGGGCAGTGCAATAAACTAGCACAGCTGAGTCCTAACTGCTGCTGAGTGTAGAAATCTTTCATTCCTCCTCTTCTCCACATCCTGCTGCTGCTTCCCCTGCCCGACATGAGAGTGGCTGATAGCGGTGAGAGCTAGCCCCATAAAAGGAATCGTTTTCAACTGGATTGATACAAAGGAAGGAATGGGACATACAGGAAGGAAGACCATTTTTGGGTAGTGCAAAGTTAATCTCTTGCAGATCCATCAGAACTGGCAATATTAGAGGTGTTTTGTTTGTTTGTTTTGTCTGTGGAGTGTGATGTGATTGGATTGCTCTCACTTGGTTTCTAGCTTGTTCTAATTTCTGCTGATACTGCAGGAAAAGGAGAATGTAGAAGTATATTATGCTATATAACTTGTATGTTACATTTTCCTTCAGTGCTGATGAAAATGAACACAATTCTTATCAAATCAGTGCTTGAGCTGAACTTCTCAAGTGTGAGATCAAGTGAAAAAAGAATTGTTCAGTTGCATCAGGCAGAAGTGGATTCATCTTGTTAACATATTGGACCCCGTCCTGCTCTCTCTGAAAACTCTCAAAGAGTGCTTTGCAGAAGTTTAAAAGAAATCCAAAATGCAAATCTAAAATAGGCTTTATGTAAATTTATTGCAAGAAGAGAAAAATCTGCATTGGAAAACAATTTCTCATGCTTTCGTTAAGTGTTTAAAAATGCCTCTTTTTCTTTCCTAACATGATGAGTTTTTTCATTATAGTTCCACACCAAATACTCCCTAAGTAGCGTGGGGATTTAAACAAAATGATCTGTGTGTGCTTCTATTACTAGGTGTGCCAAATACCTTCCAAAGAGGAGTAGTTATCATTTCTGTTTTGTTATTAAAGACACTCAGGTGTTATTGCCTAATTCATTTGCTTGAGATCACACAATGTATCAATGATGAAACTCCATACAAGCTTTTTGTATTCTAGGATTGTATTTAAATGTTTATCCCCTGAAAATAGAAGAGAGAGACAAATTGCTGTGAATGGAAACACTTTTTTTCAGTTTGCTGAGGGGATGTGGGTTTTGAAACATGCAAGGCTGCTCTACCCTCAGCTTCATCCTAAAATGCATTCTGAAAACAAAACAAAAAACAGAACAGTCTATTTCAATGAAAATTCCTTTCCTATAGAAAACCAAAAGCTTTTGGAAGTATATACTTTGAAAAACATGGGGAGTTTGGATTTACTATTTTATATGAGCTGGGCAATAACACCTCGAAAAAATGAAAGATTGCTGTCTCCTTGAAATACTTTTTTTGTATAAAGGGAAAGTTTGTATAGATTTTTGTACACATTCTTTATCAATTAGTATGTAAAAGAGGACGTAAAGAAAGTAGATATTTTCTGGCTTGGCAGTGTGTGCAAGGATCCGAAGATGTAATGAACTGTAAAACTGAAACTTTAATGTATGTTTATGCCTCTCCAGGCTCATTTTGACTGGTGGGATGGAGAGTATGTGACGACCTCCAGAAACTATTGCAAAGAGCAAGTTGTGAAGTGGAGGTGAGCTCATGTGGTGCCCAGGGGGAAGTACTGCTGGGGTGTGGAAGCTAGGTCAGAGAAACTGTGTTCTAGGAAAGGTACGTTCTCCACTCCTCTGTTGTGCTTAAGGTCACAAAGGTAGGCTATTAGTTTTGTTGCTTTAGTTGGACTTTGGTACCTTTTTAAAAATAATAAAGTTAACCTCAAGGAAGAGAACGTATGGTAGCCTGTAACCTGAGTTGTATTGTCCTGTTCTGTTGTTGGTGTATCAGCCCAATACACAGCTTGTCTGTGTTGAAGAGATTTATCACTTGTTCACCGTGTGAAGTATTGACTGATGTTTTGAGGGACAATGTTCTTACAACTCTAGGGAGTGTATTGCTGTCTGCCTTGTTTCAGCTGGCAGGTTTCTGTGCCAGAAAGGCGAGTGTACAGCAGGGAGGCATGGCAGGGCTGAGCGGGCACAGGAGCCGGGCTAAGTTGGTCTGGCTGTCCTTGTTGGCTCTGCAGAGAAACACCACACAGTATTTGTCTTCTCCCTTGTGCTGCCGTTGCTGATTCTTCCATCATATCTCTGTGATGAGCAAAGTGACCAGGAGAAAACCGGCAGCTAAATTCACTAACGGTTTCAATGCCATCTCCTGCTGTGTGTTTATTTTCTTCCTAGGAGTTCAGACGTGTCTCTGTCCCTTTAGTTATTTGCTTAACGGTTACTGATGCTGCCTGAGGACACGAACAGGTAGGTAGAAGTGCCAGAACCTCGTGCTGGGACTTCCCATGGGATTGTGTCCAGCAGGAAACACTGTCCACCGTTACGTGAAAGGTGACAGTTGGCCCGTGGCACCAACAGCCAGTTCTCTCACTCAGCGCTCCAGCGCTGCACTTTAGAAAGCACCCCGTTTCGGCACGTTTATCAGAGAGAGTTCCCCACACACGGAATTTGCCGCAGTTTTCCCTCCTTTTCGCGCAGGGCCCGGCACCGAGCACCCAGCGCTGCCCGCCCGGCCTGAGGCGAGGCGCGCACCGCCCCTTCCCGCCCCTTCCCGCCTCCCTCGGGGCCCGCGCGGCCCCGCCCCCCGCGCGCCACCGCCCCCCCGGCGGGAAGGAGGGCGGGCTGTCGGGGCCGCGCACGGGGACGGCCCGGGCGCCATGTTGGAAGGTTGCTGAGCCCGGGCTGTGTCTGTGCGAGCGGCGCCGGGAGCCCGTTTGCTGCGCGGGGTGGGGGGGCCGGCGGCGGGGAGCGGCGCGGAGGGCGGCGGGGGGACGCGGGCGCGGATCATGGACGTCGAGAGGCTGCAGGAGGCGCTGAAAGGTGGTGCGGGGCGAGCGGCGGGGGGCGGGGAGCGGTGTCCCCGCGCTGAGGGGAGGTGCGGGGCCGCCCGGTGCGGGGCCGGGGTGAGCGCTCCTTCCTTGGGATGGGGGCCGCGGGGTCCCTCGGGCGGGGGCGGCCGGGAGTTCGCTGCGGGGACGGGGAGGGCCGAGCCTGGGCCCGCTGCCCCCGGGCTGCCCTCGCTCGGGGCTCCTCCCGGCGCTCCCTCGCCCTTCTCCGCCTCAGCTCGCCCCGTCCCGGCCGCTGCGGGCTGGCCCGGCCCCGTCCCGAGCTGGGAAGCGGCCCCGGCCGCCGCTCCCAGAAGTCGCGCACCAACTTTTGCCGCCCAGGTGCGCGCGTTTCTCCACGAGAAATTATCTTGGCGATTCCCAGGGCTGCAAAGTTGGAGGGGCTGTTGGGATCAGCTGAGGCGTTGTTGGAGCAGGACGATGTTTCTGAGGGAGTCGTGCTGATAGTTCCAGCGGTGGTTACGATTTTTAATATAATTTTTTTTTATCTGTTTTCTGTTTCCATTCTTCTCGTGCCATCCTCACGCCGACAGATTTTGAGAAGAGGGGGAAGAAGGAGGTGTGCCCCATTCTAGACCAGTTCCTCTGCCATGTTGCCAAGACGGGAGAGACCATGTAAGTGCGGCCCTGGGGCACTGCGCTGGGGAACGGGGCGCTTTGGAGCTGTGTCAGTCGTTGGGCTGCTGTCCTGGGCTGAGCGAGCTGCCCTCGCTGCATGCAGACTCCGGGTGGATTTGTTCTCTTTGCTGGTAGTTTTATCTAATAAGGAGCCTCTTCTCATACAGGGTCAGGGATGTCTTCCAGGCGTTACCGACCCTGCCCAGCACAGGAAACCTGCTGCTCTTTCTACAGTTTAGGCGACGTTTATTTTTTTTTTAATGGAAAGTTTTGCTCAATGTTACCTGTGGCATACCTCTGTAATATCCGCAGCTCGTACCGGCGTTGCGCACAGCGGCGCCGGGCTGTGCCCCAGGAAGGCCGTACGCCCCGGAGGACGCCTCGCGGGGACAGCCCAGGCCCAGCTTCTCCGCCCGCGGCTCCGGGTGACCCCACTTCGGGGCCGGGCCGGGCTGCGCGGGGTGACTTCCTGTTTACTCTGTATTTGGCAGGAAGCGGGAAGGTTTGTCTGCGCGCGCGCTGCCGCGTTTGGCTCACTTTGTGGCAGCCGGGCTCCTTGTTTGCGAGGCCTAGTGCCGGGCTGCGGCGTGCCCTGCCGGCGCCGCGCTTTGTTCTGGCTCCCAGCTTCCCCGACCGATTGTTCTTTTTTTTTTTTTTAATTTTTATTTCTTTTTTTTTGTTTTTTCTCTCTTCCTAGTATTATTGGAATCAGTGGTTTTGAAGGAAAAATAAGTTATGAAATGTACTTTGGTTTTGAATAGAAGGCAGACATACATGGCTGTGATGCTCGATGCTCTGGGACAGCACTTCTTTCATTGTGGGCTCACAGTTGTGCTTCCGGGCTCTGTGTAATAGATTTTTCTTAAAATTATTAAAAGCTATTGCCTTAACCTGAATGGGAGCCATCAGGAGCCTCATATTCTGGCCTTTTGTGTGATCAGTTTTTTTACTTGTTTGTTTTTTCCCTGACCTGTAACATTTTTTTAGTATTTTCAAACCTTTCAGTTATATCAGTTTTTTTTAAAAGTGTCAGATATGAGCATCAGAAGTGTTCAGTATAATCTGGAGGATGACATGGAAATGCTGTTCTATGCTATTTGATTTGCTTCCCATTGTCTATTGAATTCTATTTCATCTAACATGCTTCTGTTTTCACTGATATGTTATACATCTAAATATCAAGAGGAAATCAGTGAAAGTTAAAATTTCATGATGGTCATCCATGTAAAGAGCCTTAGTGTGCTTCTAAGAACCATATGTAACCTACTAAATGTATCAATTTGAAATGAGTTGAATATTCTTTAATTTTATGCAAAAATAATAGAAATCTCAAACAGTAAGAAATACATTGTTTGGGATGAAGATAATGAATTCCACAAACATAACCCTGTAGTAACATTTATTAAGATTGTTTCAAAGTTCAGAGTTCAGTTTGAAAAATAAAACAAACATGATTAAGTGGGATAATGGCACAATTTGCAGGCCTACTGAAGTACAGTGGGCTTTGCTCAGCCTGTTCCTGGAGTACCACAAAGTACCTGTGTGTGTGTGAGGACCGAGGCAAACAGGGACAAGTGAAACCTGATGTGGTTTTCTGCGAGTTGCTGTTTCTAGTAGTGCAATATTGTGGTTGGGGAGGTTCTCTCTGCTTCATAACTTGCTCTGACGGCTACTGCTTCTCTTCTGTCCTGGGTTAAAAAGCAGTGTTCTTGCCCTTCCAGACATCACTGTAGCAGTTCTTGTGAAAATACAAACAACAAATTACTTGGTAGTGGTGCTAGTAAAGTAAACTATTATGGTTTTTTCAAGGTTCACATAGAAGCATGATCATGGCATGCGTCACTTGCCTTACAGGTTGGAAGCATGTCTCCTGTAAGCCACTGAGTACCTCCTTGCCTCTGTTGGTTTCAGTGTTCTTATTCATCCCAATGAACTGGGAGCAGGCACACAAGGTATAGGTTAAGCTGTAATTTCACCCTTGTTTCTTTTGGCAGCATACTTGGCTAATGCAGCCCTCGTGTCACTGTTTCACTTGTGCTTGTTCAACTGTTTATACGGCTGCATGGAAACCTGGAGCAGGGAACTGCTGGCAGTTGTAACTTTCCTCTTGGCAATCATGTTTCTAACAAGACAGGGCTCATTGGTACACCCTGTTGTGTTCAGGTCAGTGGGAATGGCACAGGGCAGCACAGCTGAGGAGATAAGAGGCAGGGACAGAGGGTGGGTTGTGCAAAGCAGCCCTACAGCTGTGTAAGGCTCTCCAGAGTGTCTTTAGTAATTAAATGCCTTGTTCTGGAGTAAAAATGTTGCTAAATTGGGTTATGTTGTTAGTGTAACCTAAGTTATGTTATCAGTGCCTCATGGAAAAGCCTGATTGTGAAACCACAGCCTTAATTTCATCCGTTTGAAGCTTGAGACTATTTTCTTGTGCAAGGTTAGCCATTCACTTAATTGTTCATAAGATTATGAGCTGGACTTACGAGAGTCAGCCTGAACTTCTTTTATTATACGTGAACAGAATCAGAGAATTGATTGCTTGATTACTTTGGAATAGCTTTGTTTCTTAACAGTTGCTATGGTAAGATTTAGCCTTAGGTGAAATATAAAGTTAATGGTTCAACCCTTTTTAATCTTGTGTTAAGTCTTAGGAATATATATATATTTTTTTCCAAAGGAGTTGCCTTCCTTCATTGACTTGGCTTCACAAAGGTATTAACGTGGAGTTTCCTTGGTGAGGCCAAGATTAGCCAGCGAGGATCGTTCTAACATGTTCTTCTGTAGAATGTAAAAGATCAGCATGGCTTGAAAAGCTGGGGAGAATGAATAGATGACGTTTGTTATTCTTAATACTTCATGGTCTAAAAGACTTCTTTTAAAATCATGATCTGTTTATGTTATTATTATTTTTTTAAATAAATCTTTCTTTTTTAAAGTAGGAACAGCTTTAAGAGTGGTAGAAAACAATGCATGGCACTGTGATACTAGAAGCAAGATGCATGAAATGAAAATAACTTGCCATTGTCTTGTCCTTAAAATGCTTTTCTTAACTCTTAGGAAATTTCCTGGATGTAAAGTCACCGGCCTTCAGTAGCAAAAATGTTTCTAAATCATTTATTTGGTTATTTCAGCAAGAACTTGCTTCTTGATGGAATTTTCCTTTGGTTCTAAAGTTGAAGATAAAATGTAGAAAACAAATGAGATAAAAAATTCATTTGTTAGTTCTTTCTGTGCTTCCCCTGCCCTCGGGCTAGGCAACTTAAAAAGCACAGTTTTAATGTCTTGCTTTAACGCAAGCTACAATACAGCTCCTTCCTGACAGTGAAGAAATGCAGAAATAAGTGGTAATGTACCAAATCTGGAAAAATAAAAAAAAATGTGCAGAAATGATAAACTAAAATAGCTCTAGGCTTATGCAGAGAGTGCTGGCCTGGTCAGGGTGTCATGTTATTGTACCAATTCTTGCTCTGAATACAGTATAAAGAGCCATTACAACATATTCCATTTCTTTGTGTAGTCAGATTATTTCCCCTTAGTTTCCCTAGAAGACCTGAAATATGAATTTGCACCTCTTCTGAGCTTGAATGTTGAAGTTTCTTTGAGGACTGACATAAATGCAGTTCTGCAAAGCCTCTTGGGTCAAGCTTAATACATGTGATTGTAGAGCAGATAGGGACATCTTTAGTGTCACTGCAGAATAATACAAGTTGGAAAGGAGTTCTGGAGGCCAACCAGTCTGGCCTAGTGCTAACTAAGCTAACTCTCAAGTTAGGCCAAGGCTTCTCAGGTTTTGTTTTCTTACAGAAATGCCTCATGGTGCTTCCGTAAGCTGTTTGTTGCATCACTTTCACCATGTAACCATGCACACTGGGAAACTGCTTTCTTTGCAACCAGTTGGAATTTCCTTGGAGTAATTTGGATCCACTGCCTTTTACCCTTCATTTGAGCCATCCTGAATGGAGCCTGTTGCCATCTTGTCCATACACAATTACACCTTCAGTGGTGAAAGACAGTAGTTAAATTCTTTTGAGCTTTCTGTCTCCCAGAAGAAGACAGACTTCCATAGCCTCCCCCATAGGCCACGTGCTGCAGCTGTTACCATCTTAGCGGCCTTCTGTTTTCTCGCATGCTTTCTGCTCTTTTTTTGCACAATTTCTGGATGTAGTGCAGCAGTGGGAGACTTGCTGGTGCTAGGCAGGGGGTAACATTGCTGGTAGTGCTGACACACACCCGGTGTGCAGGTGGCAGCTGTCATTCACTGCAAGGCCACGTGGCTGATGTTCATCTTGCTGTCCAGAGCACCAGGATCCTCTTCTGTAGAGAAGTTACCTTGCTGGTTCCCAGCCTTGGCTCTTGCATGACCTTACTCCATTGTAGCTGCAGAATTTTGTACGTGGTTCTGTTGAATTTCATAGTGTTCCTGTTGGCCCACTGCTCCGGTTCTCCAAGGTTCCTCCAAATGACATTCATACTCTTCTTCCTGTGAGCTGCTTCCACCAGTGTGACACCACTGACCACTACTGGGCTGGTGTCCTCTTCCTCTGAGTCTGTAGACTCCAACGATATGATGGGAGGCTGTGCTGTGTGCGTTGCTGAAGTCCAATTAAACAGTTTGCTCGGCTGCAGAGTCAGTCATTGCATCACAGAAGTCAGTCAGGTAGATCAGGCATGGTTTGCTGTTGCTAAATTACATAACTGTAAATGTGAGTTATATAACCATAGTTCTTTCAGAGATAACAGCAAAAAGCCTTTTCAGCCATTTCATACTGTTTCACATACCCAGTGTGGCAGTAAATGTGTTTTCCTACTAGGCTTTTGGAGCAGTTCTTCAACTTGTATCAGCTCAGCTTTTATGTTACAGCACTGAAGTAGTTTGCCACCTGCACAAAAGATTGGAGTGGAGATGGTTGCAATGAAGACATCCAGGAGTAAATTCTTGTTCTTACCTTGAGTGTTTTAATGATGTATTCTGACCTTTTGTGCAGTGATTTGTTTCAAAT